TTTTTCAAGTGTGGGAGAAGCATAAATTACTTTCCTCCACTCCACGGGAGAAACAATCGTACCATACGGGCAACAGAGTACGGGTTACAAGCGGCCAGGCCGACGGATCAATTTTATCCAAGTAGGACCGATTTTAGCAGCTAAAATCGACCCGATGGACCGATTTTGCCAAAAGTAGTCCGGCGGACAAAACCCGGTCCGGTGGAACTTTTTGGCCCGGACCAATTTTTGCGTGACATTTTTAAACTGCCGACTAGTACTAGTAGTACGTGTGTGTACCCGATGTGTGAGCAACAGGACAGGTAACAGGTTCAATGAGCATACTCGACAGGTAAGTGGGTGTTTTATGCCCGCCGTTTTTCGGTGGAGAAGTTTACACCAATTGTATAGACAATATACCGAGTGAACCACGTAGATAGCCTACAGTACATTCTTCGAAAAAAATAAGGTTTTTTTTTTTTTATGTAGCCTAAGCCAAACTGTCTAATTACAGCCAAGGGTGACAAGAATTGGTGTAGATACAAATTAATACAATGTTCTACAGACTGTTTCTGAGCTAAACTCAGTGCGAATTTACAGTGTTAATCACTTATCAGTTGAAGGTCGCGCTGTAAAAACGGTAATATCGTACAGGGAATTGATATAGGTGGAATTAGCTGGGGCAGAATTCTCCTCGGTTGCGTAGCGTTGCTTTGAAAACGTTGTCATAAACTGACTTGGCTTCTCGCAAGCCTTACAGCAGAAATGTGCCCATGAATTTCTCACATCTCGTCGACGAACACAGAACAATAGGAACACAAAGAAACCCTGCAACGAGTTACAAACACAGAACATCAACTGGAACAGATCGCGGACAGTATCGGATGCGTCTATTGCCAAGAACCCGAAAATCCATGTTAGGCCCAGAAGCATCATGATTGCAATCGCGTTTTTCACACGGACCGACAGTTCGCTCATTTTATTGCTGTTAGTCTTATTAATCCTTCGTCGACATGTCAGTTGTCGAATGATTTTGATATAGATGACAGAGTTGATGATGAGAATAACTGCTGCAATGGCCAGTAATCCCAGGTAAAATTCCAAGCCGGGTTTCATAAAACAGCTGAAAGAAAATAAAGCAATAATTAAAAAGCATCATTGATGAACACCAGCCAGCATAAAAATAAAAAATTGTACTTTTTTTGAGAATTAATGTTTTTATAATTACATCATTATCTAATTTAATACTGCTTATGATAGGGAAGTACTTTAATATATTTTATTTTTTTTACCAAGTCCCGCTCACATACTCAACGGTGAAACCTGTGAAGTATCGATGTACATGTACAAACATTATTTTTTTATTTCCAATTCAAAAATTTGAAATTGGAAATTTTGGCTGGGGACCCACAGCAACCACATTGCAGCGCCAGTATCCCGCCTCAAATTCTCATGCGAGGGTTACCGTATTCGTGGAGCAGAGCGATCTCAAATTAAATCCCGAAGCTGGCTAGCTGAGTTTGAACGGGCGTTTACAGCGCAGGAATCAAGAACATTACTTCCATGTTAGGCCCAGAAACATCATGATGGCAATTGCATTTCACTTCACTTGGGGTCAATAAAGGAGCATTCACGTCGTCCCTGTCCGCCAATCCCTTCACCACTAGGCCTATACACGAGAATATTAATGTCGAGCTTTCCAACCTACATCGACATGGCTCTACAGAGCATGGTCTCGTGAATAGACTCGATAAGTAGAAGACTTCACTCATTTTATGATCTTCAGTCCTTGCTTTCGTTAAAATAATGTTTTATTAAACAAATTGATGGCGTTTCTTCTTTGTTAAAATACCTAACTAAAAACCAATCCTCAGATTCTGGATTAGGAAACCTTAGTTTTTAAAAATATTATTACCAATATAATCATCAATATTATCATCATCTTCATTAACATCATCATCATCAGTTACTTACCAGTATTTATAAACAATACGATTTTTTTAAATAGAAAAACCAACAAATTTTATCTGTACCTTATGTGCGGTAGGTGTGATGTAATACTATATAATACCATCTTTATTAATTCCAGTACAAAAAAAGGGGGAAAAAGGTGTAGGCCTATGCCAAGGCAAAAGCGGAATTTACCGAATAGTACAAAATATAACAGCAAAGAGTATAAAACTGGAAGCGGTCCGACTGCCGGGGATTCGTTGGAACGCAAAAAGTACTTCCACGAAGGGGCGTGGCGAGCAACACCCGTACGAGTTTTTAAGTTACCGGTATGTGTAGGGCATCCCCTAATTCCTGGCAGTACTTTTAGCGTTCCATTGCCTGCATATCTTGCTGCATACAAAATCGGAGCAGTCGAACCTCTTGTAGTTTTATGGTAACACTTACTAATTCTCGTTGAAATATGTTTCCCTGTAGTTTGTGGCAGAAATTATTGCAACTGGTATAATAGGCACACCTGTTGATTAAAAATCCTATTAAATTCAGTTTTACAAAACAAATAGTTACTTAAAGTAATCATATTTTTTCGGCAAGGGCGTGATATTATTTGAAATTGCCTTCTGTTAAGATTAAAGGGAATTTTGAAAATGTATGGTTTATGACCAAATACAGACATGTGATACATCATCATAAGAATAATAAATAATTATATTAGGAAACGTTTTACACATTATATTTATAATAGCCTGTTAATTTGCTCGTGTCACTTGTGTGGGGTGGGGAGTGTCTGATGCGCCAGAGTGGTGGCAGATGGTGACCAATTACTGAACTTTCATTCTGTTTTGCCAGACTGTCATGACTACTAACAGTTCTTGTCTCACATTATGTCGTCTTATTATTATTATTATTATTATTATTATTATTATTATTATTATTATTATTATTATTATTATTATTGTTATTATTATTGTTATTATTATTGTTATTATTATTATTATTATTGTTTTGTACATTATGTCATTATTATTATTTAATATTATTATTATTATTATTATTATTATTATTATTATTATTATTATTTTGTCCAGTGGCGGACCGTAGGGTAAATTTTAGGGTAAGCTTGGGCCTGTTAGTGGGAAAGGCCTGTTAGCATAAAATCAAAATACAATTTTACAAATGATTCTCTATAATAGCCACATGGTTTTCATTTCTTATCATACATTATTTATTTTACCATTTCAAATTTACAATACCAACATAAAAATACAAACGACTCAATATCTAGTAGAATTTCTCAAAAGAGGGCTATGCCAATCTGTATGGGTACCGAAGAAACAGATTTAACAGAAATATCAAAATAATTATTTATGAAGCACTTAAAAACTATTAATAAAATATTATTATTACAATTAAGATGATTGTCACAATTTATTCAAACGCGAATATAATTTCCTCTCTTCAAAAGAATTCCTATTTCTGTACATTTAACAAATACATAATACACATTTCGTTTATATCGGTGCAAATTTATTTTAACTTTAATCATTGAGATTACAACTGCCTATACTAAACGCCACCATGCGGTTGGTAGAATAGAAGATTTTAACATTGTACGGTATGCTTTCACTATCCTTACCTCGCTGGTAGACTGACTGAATATCATCCATGCGGAAATTCTAAGCAGGCGAGAGGATGATGCGTAGGTTCGAGTATTTTAGGTTATCTTAAATAATAGAAGATTTTGGCTAAGAAATTTTAAATAAAACGAAGAAAATGATTGAATGAATTTTTTTTTTTTTTTTTTTTTTTAGTAGGGTATACCTTGCTTGCATTGACGTTCAGCCACTGATCATATCAGAAATCAAATGTCTACTTTAAACTTACATGATTCTGCTTGATTTACAAACAGCATTTGATACTGTTAATCACGAGGTACTTTTTGGTAAAATGAACATCTAGGTTTTGTCTCTATTGTCTGGTTTAAATCTCTACTTTCGAACAGACGTCAGGTTGTTTAGATAATAGGTTTGCTGTCAGACCCCAGGCAGAGAGAATGCGGAGTTGCTCAGGGTGGTATCCTAGGACCGCTCTGATTTTTTATTTATATTAATGACATGGAAAACTGGCTTGATAACCAATGTAAATTATTTTTATACGCTGATGATAGCATTTTTTTTTTCCCATACCCCTGATTCCCAACCAATCTTACTCAGTGCCAAGATTGGCTTATGAACTCTCATTACATTTAGGAAAAACCGAGAGCATTCTATTTGGTTTTAGGAGGAAATTAAATCAGGTAAATAACTATATTGTCAGATGTGATGACAAAGGAAATCGAAAACAAAAGGATGTAAAATATTTAGGTTTTTTTTTTTTAATGAAAGTTTATCTGGAGGTGACATAACCATGAAAATTATTTGTTAAGTAAATATTCGAATTCGCTTCCTCTATAGAATTGCTCACCTATTAGCCAACGATAGCCGACGGTTACTCTCTTCTTCATTTATTCAACCCCTATTTGATTACGCCTCCCCTGCATGGGCACCGAGTGTTGGTAAAATTGCCAATACTCGACTTCAAATGAGCCAAAATGAAATGATTCGATTAATTTTTTAAAATGGCCCACGTTCCCATATATGTCAAAATGAGCTTACAGAAGTTGAGGCTCTTTGTGAAGTATAGATCAACTTATAATCGCCTTTACCCATTAAGTAAAAACAGAAAGGGTGGCTTCTAATACTATTTTAAACTATATGACACATATTTCTATACAAATACCTGGTATAAGATGTCATTATTCTTACAAACCTATGCTTGTATTCACGTAGAAGAGAAAATGAACTAGTGTTTACTTACCCCAACCAAGAAGTACAGTCTTCAACATGAAGTTACGTATTTCGTTGTAGAATACCAATACAAATTGTAGGTACATATTTATCGCCTCAACAAGCATCCAAGATAGCGTCGTAAGAACAAAATAATGCAACATGATTGCTATGGCAATACAGCAACTATAACAACTCGTCAACTCAATCCCGATGACAAAAGTTAGATATAGAAACAATAGAGAAAAACACAAATTCAGAAGGATACGTTGGGGGCGGTTTCCTCGTAAGTGTCTGAAAAGATTCAGATTAGTTACAGTTAATACTTTAATAGTTTTAAATACTTTTCCATAAGAAACATCTTGTGGTATGTTTGTCTCGTGTAATTCATTAAGTTTTTTTTTCATTTATTCTGTTTAAATTAATTAAAAATAAAAAAAAAGTACATAAAGTTAATAAAGTACGTATATAATTGGTACTGCAGGCGGTTATAATAAAAGAATTAACTTACTTGAAATACATAAATGTAATGATAGTAACAACCAAGCAGACAATAGATATTACACATCCTATGATGCTGATGTAGGTCAACGAATCTTGAAACCTCGTGGTTGGACCGGCCTGACCAGAATAATCCTTTCGAAATCAAATATATGATATATATTTACGTTGGTTTTAGAGCATCCATTCCGTACATAAAATCGTGAGGCATATGTGTTGAGTTCTAGCCCTAATTTGAATACAAACAACAATACATACCACGATAACAGCAAAGTTTGTTAAATGGTCACAGAAGCACACGATTCGACCGTCGGATGTTTCCTTGTAATCACAACCTTCGTTGGACCAGTCTCCGTGGCCGTTTTCCAAATCAAAGTCCCAAAAAACGCATTCAGGATTCCCTTCTGCACCTTTCTGAGATGTGAAAAATGTACAAGAGCGATAATACTTGTGATGATATTCCTTAAATGGAGCTGTGGATAAATAGCCAATACCAACATAGACAACTGAACATATCACATTTGTAAATTAGCAGAAAAAATGCGCATATCATAGTCTTACAGTGTCGTAGTGGCTTTCTAAAAACACTAGAGCATTGCGACAGGGCCTAGGGCTCCATAGTATAATGCAACCCCTCTTTTTTGTCTTTATAATAAGTATACTGTTTTGAGTCCAGTTATGCTTTAATTATTATGTTCCAGAGTGAGACTTAAGGATTGGATTCGATTATTCATAAGAAAAAAAAAATCTGCTAAAACAGGAATTGAACCCATTGCCCTGGGATTGGATGGCAAGTATTTTAACCACCAAGTTATTCAACTCCACTCTTAACGTGTAAACCATTATCATTAGTGTTTTGATTAGATTTATTTCATTTCGTTTGAACACCAATGAATACCCACGACTGTCTGTAAGACTTTCTGGGGTCCTTCTTTTGGTTATTTGGGCAGTACACCTGGAGGCAAACACTTCTGCTCTTTTGTGAAGAGTGTATTGCGTTAATCAATGTGCAGATGGGGCACCTCATGGAAAAAACGGCTTGAACGTCTCTTCTGAAAGACAGTGCTGTGTGCATTCCAGCCTTCCAGCTGAAACACGAGAGCAGCCGATGGAATTGTATCTGGAACCAAACGTAAAAACGATCTCCACGGCTCAGCACATACAGTGGTTATCACCACCACTTTTAACTGGACTGCTGATGTGGGTAGTTTTATTATCAGAATTCTATAATCAGAATGTACACTCACCACAATTGGTAAGTAGGCAGCTGTAACCGGTTCCTCCAACCCTGCCACAGTTACGCTTTCTACAGCAGCCGATATGACCCGACTCCCAATCGTTCTATTTTCGTTAGACATCAGACGATAAGAAGTAAACAGTTTAGACGACTGATAGATGATGAAGCTCACTTGCAAGTCATTTGAAGCCGCTTGTTGCTGACTCTTACTAACAATTTCCGGTGGTAAAGCAATTGATGTTTCCAACATCTCGTTTAGATAATCGTTTACGTTTTCTAATTGTTTGATGTTTTCTTTTTGAAGGCCGCTATTAACGGTACCATTCATCGGTTGTAGCGAAGCAAATCCGATTCCATTTTCCAAAGCTGTTGTATTGAACATCATCGTCTGTACAGCTACATTTTCCTGGACGTATGTGAAATTCGTAAGTGATGCCAATTGAGTCTCTAGGGACTTAACTATACTTGATGAAGCAGCTGTACTCTGGTTGTCTGCCATAAAAAGGTCATTGTCCAGATTTTGTATATTACTCACAACTTCCACTATGAACATTGTTACCTGCAGGTAAATGAAAATCAAATAATTTAAATATTAATTTATTTCATGAAGACATATGAAACCTTCAGGATTGTATTTATGTACTTGTGGTTCTTTGTTGAAAATCGGATTGCGCTTCAGGGGACCCTCGGCGGCCGAATACATCGCCAGGAGATTAATAAAGAGCTTTCGATTTGTTCGACAACGCGACGCCAGAATGGAATCACTCAATGCGTGACCATCCTACGTTCTCTGCACTAGCTCTACGTAGATTTGGCCAAATTACGTCCTAGAATCCAAGCGACGAGAACTTAACGTTCTCGCACTTGAAGTGACGTCATTACATTCTACTTGATACCGTCGTTGTGCAATCAATAGCTCCCAACCATCAACTTTCTTCTGAATACTTTATTGAGCCCCTTTTCGTACGCTTGTGTTATTATGCACACGTAACTTACAGCTTAACGTCCCATCCAAAAGACGAGGTAATTAGAGCAAAGTGCCTTAACCAAGGACACAACATTAGCGGATATGGAAGGGGTCAGGGGGCTCATGAGCAAAAAAATTATTTTTAAGCTAGACTTACATTTTTCCTAAATTCCAGCTAAAATTGTTTTTGTTACAATGCGAAAGTTAGAAGTCGGGAAAACTCATTTCCTACCATCTAGGAGTCAAAATTTTCCCTGGGGGAAACCCCTGACCCGGCGTTCTCATTGGTGTTCATCATCGATTGATTTAAAAAAAAAAACGTATGCAACTACTCCTTATATATATATATATATATAGAAAATAATGAAACAACTTCAGTAGTAGACTTTAAGAACACTGATTTATTATAAACTCGGATATTTCTGCCACTCCTGTGGCCTTCATCAGCGAAAATGAGGAATATATATATATATATATATATAATAGGCCTATTTACTGTATAATAATGAGAAAGTTTACCTGACGTTTTTAAGAGGGCGTAAACCTTGAATTTACTTAAAAGTCATTAAAAGGCACCGCAGAAGTCGGGAAAACTCATTTCCCGCCATGTATCACTCCAAATGTTTCCAGGGGGAGGACCCCGGACCCCAGTTTGTTTTTGGCTGGATTTTTAAAACATTTTGACCCCCGCCCATAAACTTGAACTTAAATGCGTCCCTACACAAGCAAGTACAAAATCAGGCCTTGAACTACAGTTTTCAGACATTTTACTCGTAATTTTTGTGGCCTTCATTCAGCTTACATTATTATTCGCACAGTATCTGAAACAAAGGTCAAGCGTATAGAGCCTTTATGAATTATGATCTCTATAAATCCATATTTATTATTATTAGTAGTAGTTATCGTAATATGGAAGATATAATTAATTTCGCATTAAGACCTATGCCTACGATCGGACCTGACTTACTTGCTGATTGCCTGCGCCAACTTCAGTTACATTTTCTAAAATGGAGGCAACATCGTTAAGGTTAAGTTCGTCTTCGACATTCTCGTCGCCGGTTAAGGTGGAAAGTTGACTAGCAACGTCCTCAACATTATCTTCCGTTACAGTCACCTATAAAATTAAAATCAAATTATCTACCATTTAAAAAAAATACAGAGTAAAATAAATATTATTCAATACTTACAATAAAGTATCAAATATATAACTATTATTATGTACTGTAGAATTGTTTAATCGATAATAAGCATAAACACAATTGCATGGATGTAATCTTACTGAGAGTTTCGCCGAAGTTATCAACATAACTTTGTTAGGCTGTGGTGGCATCCGTTTTTTGGGCATTGTGAATACAACCCCCTCTGGTGCCAGCTCTTTTCCTGTCAGGATTGGTTCTGGGTGGGTTGGGGTAAAGTGCGTATGTCCCATCGTCTCTCTTCATCGTCTGTTTTTGCTTCCTTTTATTTAGGTTGCTTCCATGATCGTTCTTGTGTCTCATATTTATTCCGTTTTGGTTATTTGAGTGTCTTTCCATTTGAGGTTGTGGTCAAGATCCACCATATACTGGTCAGTGATGGCCGATTTATGAAAACTTGCAGAGTGTGTCTGCACTAATTTTTTTTTTTTTCTTCTTTTTCGGGTTTTTTTTCTGTGTGCCTGCGAGGTACATTTAATTTGTATGCGAGAGGGTATGGGATAAGTACTTTAAATATTGGTTGGTGTGTGTTGTCTGGCACGCTCTGCCAGTATTTTGTCTACAGACCAAAATACTTTTCATAAATCGGCCACACAGACCATATGGTGGATCTTGACAGGAAAGGGGCTTGCACCAGATACTTAAAACGGATGCTAGCTGCTCATATATAAAATTTTAATTAGCATGCTAGACGGATTGTATTATTTATTTTTTGTTATTTTACATTAATCAGCAGTCGATTCATCAATGTTCTGTCTATGCATTCTATCATTATCGTTATTTCAGCAATAGAATTATTACACAGTACAAATACTGGCTGCTGATAGCAATGGAAAAGTCGAAATTGTTTATAGACTACTATTGTCAGTAGATGTTTATAAATAAAGAAAAGTAATTTTAGTGAAAACGCCCTCTATAGTACGTTATTACCTGTGTCAGCTCGTTGATATCATCAATGTTGCATACTGCAATTGTAACTTCTTCCCAGATTGCGCCTCCGGATAGGTCAGAATTACACATGCGCACGGCTTGAGGATCTGTTTGGCATTACAAACGTAATGTAAGTAATCGAATTTATGAAATTAATGATTTTAATCCCTAAATATAAACAATACTTACACAAGGACTGAAGTAATAAGACTAGGTGGACACCACAAATTAACAGTCTTTAATTGTAATCACTAGCAAAAGTGATTACATACCAAAACTTTGTGCGAAGAAGCACGTCAATAGTAAGAAGCAGAAATCCGCTGCTGATCCTTCGTATTGGCATGTGAAGTCTATACTGCCCGCCTTGTTTGAAATTGGGTTTTCTAAATAAGTCATGCAAATGCATTATATTACCATGAATGCGAACTATTTAATTATTGCATCAACTCAGATTTTTATTGAAAAATATACATGATTTAAAAAGGAAAACCTGATCAACGATGTCGTACCTACCGCTACTTTATTATTTTGATGTTACGTCTGCTACCATTATTTATTATTTGCTTTAATATTATATTTTAGTGTACCCATGATATGTGCATATAAAAGTACTTTGTACTCACTATTTTCTTCCGAACTGCACATTTCAAGCGAGTTAGCCAAAAAATTGGTCGGCGAAGCTTCGAATGTGTACGTCACGTTCGCTATCACTACAACATCATGTGGACAATGATCTGGACGAATACCATCGATTATATAATTACAAATCAAAATTAAAACCAAACGGGTATACATTGTTTTTATGAATGACTATGAGTATAACATTTTGATCATTATCTCATCGTCATCATCATCATTTTGCTCAATACTAAAATACATCGTATACATCTTTGTTTTAAATTTTGAAGTAACATACACATTATCAACTTAAGCATAAAAATTAGTGTATTTAACATTTTTCCCCCATGATTTCACAGCAATCGTCTTTATTGTAGTGTATATTGTTATTGAATATATATTGAGGATTGAGTATTTCGTTTGCAAATAATTTTGTAATTTTTTTGAACAAAGAGTATAAATTTATACCGCCCCTCTATAGGACCTATTTGCTATATGTCAATTCAATACGAATTTACTAACCTGTATATTCAAGAAAAATAGCAAAGAAATCGGCCAAGGCTGGCTCATCTTAAAAACAAAAACAAAAATACATATGTAGTTGTTACCTCATGAATATTAAAGAGATATGCTTACGTCATGAATATGCTTAGTAACCACACTAGTGAATAATACGTTGTTAATTTGCATACTCAGGTGCAATTCAATCGCTAATATTCGAGTATTGCTGTATTGTCACTGATGGTGAGAAATGCTTTTCTCGAAACATGTCTGCTTTAACATTAAAGGCTTTCGTCTTGTTTATTAAATGCTTTGTTCATTTTGTCAAAAATAAATATTATAATCATACACATTATATTTTTGAAATAATATTGTTTCGTGAAAACTTAACATCAAATATTGACCTCCCTATACTCACTGATGTCTGAAGAAGGCTAATATTGACATACTAAAAAGGGGGACACAGATCGAAAACACCAGTGAGGTTACAGATCTCTTATAGAGGTTAGAAAAGGTCAGAAAAAAAATGTAATAATGATCTTTTCACTATAGGCCTATACCGGGATTATCGTTATCGTTTACAATGAAACATTTCATAAGGTGACATTAGAGAATTTTTTGTAGAATTTTCTTTTAGATAATCCAAGTAATACAAAAAGTTGATGTAAACTTACCTGATTGCCATAGTACAGCAACTGTTGTTGGAGAGAACATGATTTGAGGATAATCTGTACTTCTATTGTCCCACTTGCACGGGCCACTATCAGTTAGCACCACGGTCCACCCATAGTCAACCCTGCATCCACCATAACTCTTATTCGAAAACCAATGTCGGTTGTACAGGCTGTTATAATGGTTTAAATTAAAAGATTTTTGGTAAAATATTACTGTACCCTGTTTGTAATGATGCAAATATAAATAACAATGTATTCCTTTCCTGGTGGGCGAACCCATGCATTTTCTTTAAA